AAAAAAAAAAAAAAAAAAAAAAAAAAAAAAAAAAAAAAAAAAAAAAAAAAAAAAAAAAAAAAAAAAAAAAAAAAAAATATTTTGTTTACCAAATTTTTGAAAGAAAATGTTATATAATTTTACGCAATGATTAGAAAAATAAGTGCCCAGATTAAATTCTATATCTGTCTCATATGATCGTGTTAGTCCTTCGATGCTTTAGCTTTATATATATTTAGTGTGACCGACGGATTCAAATTTTGTATTTTGTGTATAGAATTTAAAAGAAAATTTAATTATTCCATGTTCCGATATAAACATATCTGCGATTTATTATGAAAAAAATACACATCTTTTCATAATAAACCGGTTTCAAATGAATCCCATGTGTCAAAAAAATTATATCCGAAATTTGCTATCCGTCACCCAGAGAATATAGTACTACATAAACATGCGAGATCAGTATATAGTATATAAACATGCGAGGGGTGCTGACTTGAAAGACACGGAAGGTTTGTGATCTCCCAAAGATTTTCTCTATCCCGCAAATCTTGTATCGCCATTCTGCATATTTAGAAAATTTCCTTTTCTCTTTTTTTTAGAACAATGAAACGAGTCAGTACGCAGTACACAAATGAAATTAGTATTACAATTTATTCAAATAGCAATTAAAAATGTCCACAAATATCATTTTACGCATTCCATTTCCCCTTCCCTTAATTGCAAGTATTCTTGTAGCACATTCTTTCCCTTTCTTTTTCCATTTCCCAATTGGGGCCAATGTAAAATTGCTGCTAGGGTATATTCTTCAACAAATCTAATTTTATCCTTGCCATTGAAAGATTATTGTTCAGGTACTCGTCGTGGAGCTCCAATACAAACAAGTTATTTTCATCAGAAATTAAGCGATACACAGTACAGCTTCTACACGATGTACAGCTTCTTCAAAAAGCCCTTTGCCTTTCTTTTATGAAAAATAAATATTCCAAAAGCGTAAGAGAGAATAGGTTTGGTTTGTCAATACAGTTTCGCTATTGATACAGGAGAAATAGAAAAATAATATACACTAAATAATGATATACTTCAGAAACTTGATTATTTCTCTATGTGACAAAAAAAGCTACTGCCACTTTCACCGAGCACGCTTCCCACTGTAATGATTCAAAAATTATTAGATGAAATAGTATGCTATTTTGCACATTTCTTGAGAAATAATCTCATGTCAAAATGTAAATGAACATTATGATATCAAAATGTCATGGATGCGGTTATTTTACAACAAAATAGGAGCATTTCTTTCCTGAGCCGCATTCAGTTAGTGGAGCCGCATTCAGTTAGTAAAAGGGTAACTCGTCTCACTTTGCTAAAATCTGGAGTTAGTTTTGAAGAAATTAAATAGTTTATTACGAACGATTGTGTGCCTTTTTAGAAAAAGTAATCGCAGTAAAATTATAATTTTTTGAAGTTTTAACCAAAGATTTTTTAAAAAAAACTGAGAAATTTTTTTTTCTTCAAATTTTGAATTAGTTTCGGAATTGGAGTAATTGATATTTAAAAATTTTAATGTTTTTTACCCAATTCTGAATGGTTAACAAAGAATGAGTATTTTTTTTACATCGCTTGGACACAACGATGTCTAATAGTCTTCTTTCATTAAAAAGAAAATAAAAATAAAAATAAATAGAAACTATATTAGTGAGGGTGCTTGATTTCCAGAATTTACTATTTCTATTTGGTATTCGATAAGTTAATTACTTTTTATTCGTTGTGCGGTATCGTAAAAAATTGTGTATTCATCTTAGCTTCGAATTAATTTCTCTCTTTTTTTACATTTATTTATCAAATAGTTCATTAATTATTTTATTTATTGACTAGAATAATTATGTATGAAATTGTTAAATGGGTAATATATTGTTGGAAAAAATGTATACGTTGTTAAAATATCAGAAACAAAATAATAAATTTTTTTTTTAAGCAAATGAATTTCCTCTTTAATTGAATACTTTGTTAAATGAATTATAATATAATTTATTCTTCAAAGATTACGGCTTTTTACTTTACTTTTTGGAATTCAACAAATAAATGTATTTTAAAAGATTTCAATAAATATTCGGCCATGTTTGCTGAATTAAATATCACATTGTTTGTTTTTCGAATAATAAATTAATGAAATTGTTTAAAGTTCTATTGATTTTTATACACAAAAATTATTTCACTTTGATTATAACAAATCCATTTCTTTAGCTGGTTTATTATAGATTAGATTTTTAAAAATATGCTTGCTGTTGGTATTCTATTAATATTATATTAGACAAATCCTTCCTATTTTAAGGTGTCGGTACAAACAATTATATAAGAAGTTTTTTCAAATAGTAAAGAAAAAAAAAGACGAAAAAAGAAAAATTGCAATAATGAATGTAAACATTAGCACCAAAATAACATCAATGATTATCAGATAATTTATATTAATTCGATATAATGATGTTCAGGAACATTTTAAATCAAATTAATTTAACAAAAAATAAAATATCTAAATATAAATCTTGCTTCCATTTTGAATCTAAAAATAAAATCTTTCGGTGGAAATAGGACAACTTGACTGACATGCTATTTTTAAAGTATATTTCTTTTGAGCAACTCCTGATGCTTTTTTATTGCTTGTAAGAATAATTGCAGGTGTTTATTTATGATTCAATCAAATTAGGAATTTCATTCATAGAAACGGGAGTTTCTTCTCTCCCAAAAATGTTCTATTTTTCTCGGCGTGAGTTTTACAACGAAAACGTTAAAATGAAACGTAAATAAAAATTTCATGTTACTGTAGAGCGCCGATTATCCTGACCAATCAGGACCAAGATTGATCTGTATAATTGAGCAAATTAAAAAAATAATAATAATAATAAAATAAAAAAAAACGGCTTAAAGAATGTTTTTAAGAAACTTTCACACTTTTTCCAGGGTTAGGATCGTCAATTCTAGCAGTGCATATTACAAACAGGGTATGCTTAAAAATTTAAAATTTTTTAAAAACATGTTCTTTTATTCGAAACTATTTATTACCCACACTGAAACTGTGCGGAGTGAACATGTGGTTCTTTTCAAGGTCACTAGGGGACAAAAGAAGCCAACTAGAAGCATTTACGCGAATAACAAACTAATTGTTTTTTTGTTGAGAAGATGAGAAAAACACATAGTTCATCAACTATCCATATAATTGGTAAATTGGATTCCGGAAAATTGGAAATCAGTTAATTGGAGCTAAACATGTATTAGAGATA